GAAAAGAGACAACTCAAGCTCAGCTTGCTCCCTCTGATGGACCTTTGTAACACAGCAGTATGTGCAAGGCATATCTCTGAGTGCCACGTCAACAGCAGCCAGGATAACGTAATAGGGCTGTGATGCACTCAACATTTTTAATTGGTTCTACTGCCTAAATCGGAGTTCGGCTTTCTTCCCCTTTCCAAAGCCTTAATTTCACCAAGTGAGATTTATTGCCACAGAGAAAGAGGCCATCAAATGCCTTTCCCAGCCTCCACCGTTGGTGGGAATTTCCTTAGAATTTCAGCCTCTTACATTAAGACTGAGTCCTGGTATACTGCAAAGAGAAGTACTCTGTTTACTTATTTGTATCCCACAGCAGATCAAAAGGGAATCAGCTGTTCTCCTTGGGAACAGCTGACTTCCTCTCTCTATTACCACCTCCAGTGCGCAGCACAGAGGGTGTCAGATGCTTGATAAACATTTGTAGAATGAATAAGGAGTAACATTAAGATGTGTAAACTCGCTTATATCTTAGTGTGAATGAATTTCTCCACGCCCTTTTCCTGAGAAATTTTGGGTGGATCGTCAGTGACATAGAAAGAGGTAAGAGAGCCCTGAAGAGAAAAAGTAAAGCCTGAGGAAGGTTCCTCTTCAGTTCTGCCTGGAAGTACTGTCCTGCTATGGATCAGTCTAAAGGAGCCTGGTTCTTCAAAGGAAACCCCAGACTTCTTCTTGAATGCCATGTGAAATTATCTTGCTTCTCCGTGAACATCTCCCTATACTTCAAAAACCTAACTCTTTCTGGGCTTCCCTGGTGGCGCAGTGGTTGAGAGTCCGCCTGCCGATGCAGGGGACACGGGCTCGTGCCCCAGATCCCACATGCCGCGGAGCGGCTGGGCCCGTGAGCCATGGCCGCTGAGCCTGCGCATCCGGAGCCTGTGCTCCGCAACGGGAGAGGCCCCCGCAGTGAGAAGCCCGCATACCGCAAAAAAAAAACCTAATTCTTTCTTTCTTTCTTTTTTAATTTTGGCCACGCCGCACGGCTTGCAGGATCTCAGTTCCCCAACCAGGGACTGAACCCGGGCCACAGCAGTGAAAGCACCAAATCCTAACCACTAGACCACCATGGAACACCCAAAAACCGATTTCAACGAGACATCAACAATTGGCAATTGCTTACTGACAGCCAAGTAAGACCAAGAAACAGGGACCCTAATCTTTCAGACCTCTTTTCTAACGCCAGAATTCTCGGTATAGTACTCAATCAATTTCTAATACTTGAATTAACCAAACATAAAGAACACTGGATTAGCAGAATGTTATCTAGCCAATGCAATATGATCAAGCATTAAAAACCTAGCTTCTGAAGTCACATAAACCTGAGGTTGAACCCTGGCTCCACCACTTACTTAATCTCTATAAGCCTGAGTTTCCACATCGGAAAAGAAAGATTAAATAAAGCCTATCTCGGGACTTCCCTGGTGGTCCAGTGGGTAAGACTCCATGCTTCCAATGCAGGGGGCCCGAGTTCAATCTCTGGTCGGGGAACTAGATCCCACACGCATGCCACAACTAAACATCCCGCATGCCACAACGAAGACTCGGCACAGCCAAAATAAATAATAAATAAAAGCTCAACAGATAAGTTTCTTTAAAAATAAATAAATAAATAAAGCCTATCTCATGGAGTTGCAGTAAGGTTTAAAATAGAAATGCATGTAAAGTGCTTAGCACTGGGCCTGGCACATGTGAAGTTCTCAAGAAATATAAACCATCATTTGGAAGCCTAGGTTCCCATTCCAACACCACCTCCCTGGGTATCCTTGGGCTTATAATTATAAAGAAGCTAATGAACACGTGGAGACTGCCCTCTAATGCCAGAATTATCAATCATGAATAACGTAATTGAAAATAGACCGAGGGCTTCCCCGGTGGCGCAGTGGTTGAGAATCTGCCTGCCAATGCAGGGGCCACTGGTTCGAGCCCTGGTCTAGGAAGATCCCACATGCCGCGAAGCAACTAAGCCCTAGCGCCACATCTACTGGGCCTGCGCATCTGGAGCCCGTGCTCCGCAACGAGAGGCCGCGATAGTGAGAGGCCCGCGCACCGCGATGAAGAGCGGCCCCCGCTTGCCGCAACTAGAGAAAGCTCTCGTACAGAAACGAAGACCCAACACAGCCAAAAATAAATTAATTAATTAATTTTTTAAAAAAAGAAAGAGAAAAGGAGGGAGAGGATATGGAATGCACGGGCTCTAGTCTCTCTGTTCCAGACTTCGAAAATGGACCGAAACTTTGAAAAAATAAAAGCCTTAAACAGTTCCAGATATGTTTTACGTTGTACTTGAAGTTAGCATACGTTTGATCACAGATGACTCAGCATTAGAATATCCAAAAAAAAAGACTGAAGAGTCAAACTTCAAAGCAGGTGTTCTCAAACACTTCAGGGCCTACTGTAGATGAGACTTTATATGAAACACGTGTGTGTGTGTGTGTGCGTGTGTGTGAGTGAGTGTGAGAGAGAGATGGAGGGAGGGAGGGAAAGAGAAAGTGAGGAGAGAGAGAAAGAGAGGAAGGAAGAAGGGAGCAAAGAAAGGAGAGAGAGACAGAAGGGGGGTGGATCTCAACATTAACTGGCTAAAAGACTATCCTGTCACCATTTTTTCACCGATGAGGTGATCTCAGACCTTAAAGTTTATCGGCTGTACATGTTTCACACATCGACCAAGTACAAGTACAGGCTTTTGTGCCATCTAGCTGGGGTGTTACACAGGGCCATTACAAGTGCACAGGGCCCCTCTGCAGGAATTAGATAAAAGGCACCCAGAGCACAGGCTGGTTTCCAGCCACCACTGACCCTGAATTGTGTACCTCTGTGCAAGGGCACAACCAACCACACATGGCAGTCATGCAGACGAGCACAAAGATCTTCAGTATTTAGCTGGCACCCCTGTATACTTGTTTGTGTGTACACACCCCCACACACACAAACACGGCTGAAAGCCATCAAGGATTTAAATGAGTAAATGGAGAAAGACATTCAACAAAACTGAAAATAGAGTTTCAAAAAGTTCAAGAGAGCAGGTCCCTGTGGCCTCCCTCCCCTTCAGCTACCCAGAATTGGCCTGTTGTAGCAATGGGAACCTTGGGGACGGTAGAGATACAGAGGCTTCGACACTGCAAAACTCTGATCCCTGGTAAAGCTATGGTCTCTCTCCAGCAGTTGCTCACTCTCTCTCAAAAAAAGTTAGGAAGGAGAAAAAATAAGACACTCCACAGATACCAATGGATCTACTCACCTGAGTTTGCAAAACCAGTGGTAAACAAAAGACTGTTTTGTTTTGGTGTTTTGACTTCAATAAACGTCTGTAATCCCAGGCAAGAATATGCTAAATGCTGAAGGACCTAGTCTTAAAATGTTGACTCTGTGAATTCTGCCTCCTTGGGCTTTTCCCTCCCAGATACGCATAGAGAAAAGACACAAAATAATTTTTGTTTACTACTACATATGCATATCTATCCTGATAAACTGTACAATAGTTGCTTTCCAAGCAGGTACATCATATTACATTTTGAACACTTTTGTATCCTGTGACCTGCAGAACACAACAGCTTTAAAAGCTATTTAAGGAACAGAAATTCCAGGTTAAATATGGTACCTGATTCACATGCGCAAGGAGCCAATGTACAAGAATATGCATGGCAGCATTGTCTATAGTAAATTTGGAAGTAACCTAAATGTTTATTAAAGGAAAAATGCATATAAAGTATAATATATTCATACAATGGAAAACTATGAGTTAAAATGCAAAGAATTTAAGCTACCAGCTCAAATTGAGGTATTATGGGGATAAACTGCAAACAATGCAGAGTAGAAGAAAGACTGAATAATGATACATATAGTATAATACTCTTTATATATAAGGCTTTAAAACTCCCAACATTACCTCTCTCTTAGAATTTGTTACGAGTCTTATGTATTTTTTGTATGCACACTAAAGACCTAAGGAAAACTCTAAAAATAAACGAAAATTAAAATTAAAAAAAAAAAAAAGACCATTAACCATATAGTTGCCCAAATGGCAAGGAGGGAGCCTGATTTAGAAATGGAAATCACTTGGCCCTTTAAGTCATAAGATGTGTGTCTTATCTCCATTCTGGGCTCATTAGGACACTTTATTTCAACAAGCTTCACTTTTCTCACCTAAATGGGGTTGACAACGCCTGCCTTGCAGGATGACATGAAATAATGTATGTAAAGGCATTATACAGAAGGTCTTGGATTTGGTAGATCAGGTAATAACCAACCCTCTACACGGAAAAAAAATTTTGAGTCTGCACCTTTTTCATCTAATTTGGTATATGATTAAATATGACAAAGAACACACTAGGAAAGGGCAACCCTTCACCTCCCTCTTCCCAGTCCCTGATCTGGCTGTCTCCTATATTTAGCAGAGTGACAACCCCTTCCCCCCACCGCAAAAAAAAAAAAAACGCCACGAAACCGTGGTTCCTTCAGGGCCCCCTTCCGAACTCCCGTGACCTTGGAATACATATCTTTCATCTCGCCAACCCTGCCTCCCCGCAACACAAACAGCCCTCTGCAGCGCCGGGAGCAGATGAACAAAAACCCAACCGTCACGGTCACGAAAGAGACCGTAAAAATGACGGAGCGGTGTAATAGGGTTTGGAAGGGTCTGTTTGTTTTCAAAAATTAAGAGAAAGTCTACCGCAGACTCTTAGCCCCTATTCTGCAGAGAGGAAAGCAGGAAGATCTAGGCAAATAAGTTTTGCGACTTGTTTCCAAATACAGTGCCTACATCTGGATTCAACACAAAGACAGGCGCACCGAGCATGCTGCTTTTGCAACTGGACAGACCCACCCCTCACAACCTCCGCACACACGGACCCACAGAGGCGCACTAGGCGGCGCCGACGCTCGCTCCGCACGCGGGATGCCCGGGGGTCCCCGCGCCAGCCCCCTCGGGGATGGCCGCGGCGGGTGCTGTGCCTCACCTGTCTTGAAGACCATCTTGTCATCGTCCTTGGACCCGAAAGTCTTCAGCATGGACACGAAGAGCACCCCGCAGGCGTTCTGGATGCCGAACACCGACCCGTTGCACCACATAGCCGCCAGCATCACCAGCCAACCCCAGCCGCCCTCAGGGGGCTCAAGCGGCTCAGCGCCCGCCGGCCCCGCCGGCCCCGCCAGCTCTACCTCCACCTTCTCGGCCCCCGCCGCCTCCAGGCCATCCAAGGGTCCCGGGCCGGGCAGCGGAGCGGCCCCTGGGGGCGCAGGGCCGGGCGGCTGCGCCTCGCTCGGCCCCCGCGCGGCGGCGGGCTCCTCCTGGGAGGGCACCATGGCCCGAGGCGGCCCCCTCGGGGGCCGGGGAGCGCGAGGGGCGCGAGTTCCCGGCAGGCTCGCGGAGGAGCCGCCGAGTTGGGTTGGCGGGCTAGTGAGGCCGAGGTGAGGGTGGTGGAGGCCCCCGTGGGCAGGCGGCGCAGGGGTAAGTCTCAAGCCTCCTGGTGCACAGCTCCGCACCCTGACTGAGCAGGCGGCTGGGCAGCCCGGTCTTAAAGACTCCCGCCCCCCCGCCCCACCTCCTGGGGGCGTGGTCGGCGGTGGGACCTGCCCCGGCCCACCCCCCCTCCCGCGGCGCGCGGAGGCAGGTGCCTGCGGGTGGCTGTATCTGCGCGCGCGTCTGCAGCGGGGCCTCCTCCTACCCGGCGGGGGTCACAGATGTGTAGGTCACCCCGCCACAAAGTGTTAACGGAAGAGGCGCGTCTCCTCCTAGGTGCACGCTGGGTGGATCATTAGGACCACAGTGCGGGACCTTCTTTAGCCTCAGCTCACTGACAGCCTCACGACTAAACTAACATTGTCTCTTTGTTTTATTTTTGTTTTGTTTTATGGCATTCACCTCTTATTACTAATTCTAATACATAACATACGTTATGCCACCTGCTGACTTAAAAAGGAAGTCGGAAAGATTAGAGGCCTTGTTTAATTTCTCCTGCATTCATATGCAATTTCCTGTGAATACTTGGCATAATGAACAGGCTCATTTTGGAAGACTGTTATACCAGTCTTCAAATAACAAACATTTTTGACAGCTGAAAAACACTAAACTACAGCACAGTTGTTTGTACTTTAAACAAACACTAGCACCTGTATTCAACTCCTCTGTCTCCCTGAAGCATGGAGCAACAATGTATGTAAAAGAAATGAAGAGTAATTAGCTGCGCAACATTGAGCACAATTTTTTTTTTTTTTTTTTTTTGGCTGCACGGGGTCTTAGTTGCTGCATGCATGGGGGATCTAGTTCCCAGACCAGGGATAAAACCTGGGCCCCCTGCATTGGGAGCACAGATTCTTACCCACTGGACCACCAGGAAAGTCCCTTGAGCAAAATTCTTAATTTCTCAGTTACTCAGATTCTTCACTTCGAAGTCAAAATATGCTAGTCACTTTATGATGGAGTACACAAATGAGCGTGATTGATCACATTTCTGCCTCTATCTGTTCAAAATCTAGTAGAGAGAAGTCCTGGGATAGGAGTGTCGGATAATAAGTGTTACAACACATATACAACAAAGAGAAGTGGGATGGAACCATTAAATTCTCTTCAAAATGCTAGAGAAGAACTTATACAGCAAATAGCCTTTGAGCTGAACCCTGAATCATACAGGCAACTTCAGTGGACAAAGATAGGGGAAGAGCCTTCTAGGTAAATAGCGGAAGCTAAGGGAAAGCAGGGTGTACTTGAGGAACAGGGAACAAAGCTCAAGTATATGTCTTAGGGATGGGATTAGAATGGTAAACTAAAGAACAGTTGCCCAAGTGCACAAAAATGAATGTACAAGGATGTTATTCCAGCACTGCTGGAAATAAAAAGTGGAAGCAAAAGTGTGCATCAGTAGAGAATTGATTAAATACGTACTATATAACCACTAAAAGTTATGATGTTCACCTCTGTTGACTTTGAAAGTCACAACATTTCATTGAGCAAAGAAAGCACATCCAAAAAAAAATGGTATGGATTATAACACAAAATATAAAATAGATATCCATGAGTCAATATTGATATAAGTAAATGATTAAGTACATAAATAAGGGGGGAATAAACACCTCCTTGCCTGACCTTCTTTCCCCTCTTTTGAATGGTGAATTCTCACTCTATCTTCAAGGCTTAACTCTAAAAGGAAGTCACCTTTATCAATTCTCCCTCCAGGCTTCCATATTTTATTTATAACACTTTTCACAGTCAGCAGAGTGGTTTTCAGTCTCCTTAACTGGAGTAAAAATTTTCAGACGGTCAGATGATGTCTCATGGAGCTTTGAACCATAGCACCACGCACAGTGTAAATGAACAACAAATAGTTGTTGAACCAAATTGAATTGAATTGAAAAAAATTTTTTTAAGAATCACACAGCATGAAATTGATCACATCAACTTCATCCCATATTTTCAGGTGGAAAATTGTCAGTATTTTTTAAACAACATGAATTTATTTCCCAATTGTAAAAGTAATACATGCTCGCTATAGTAGATACCATAAAAAATAATAAAATTTTTAAAGTTTATTATTACACCACTCATATAACCTCTCTTAACATTTAATAGTTTTTAATTATTTATGTATTCATGGAAGATAGAGCATCAGTTTTGTAACTACCATTATTGCATATTTCCCCTATGAACTATGGTATGGCATCGTAAAAAAAATTACGAGTCTTTTAACCCTTAATGAAAATTGCTACATCCAAGATGATGAATGAAACATAAAGAAGCCCAATGAGATGAGGATGCCCAGTAGACTTTGCCGCAGGCCATCTTCAAAGGTCCATGTGACTTAGATTTGTACATCAGCAAAGTTATTTACCAGTTACCACATGTTATGAATCTTCAGGACTGCTCATAAAGCTACAAATCTACTATGTTCCCTTCGAGTCTTTTTTTTCCTTTACATTTTTAAATAAAATCAGAATCACGGTATTGTGGACTGTGTACCCTCCCCCCACCAAGGCAAAAACTCGTATTGAAGCCTTAATCCCCAGTACCTTAGAATGTGACTGTGTCTGGAGATAGGGCCTATAATAAAGGTAATTAAGTTAGAATAAGTTAGAATGAGGCCATGAGAGTGGGCCCTAATCCAATCTGACTGGTGTCCTTATAAGAAGAGGATATTATGACACAGAAAGAGAGAGACACAAGGGAAAACCATGTGAGGCCACAGGAGGAAGGCAGCCATCTGCAAGCCAAGGAGAGAGGCCTCAGAAGAAAACAAACAAACCTGCTGACACCTTGATCTTGGACTTCTATCCTCCAGATCTGTGAGAGATAAATTTCTATTGTTTGAGCCAGCCAGTCTGCAATATTTTGTTATGGCAGTCCTAGTAAACTAATATACATAACTAAGCAAAATTTTGTACACTGCATTCTTTTCACTTAAGCCATTGTATCATAAATAACTTCCCATGCTATTAAATATTCTTCAAAAACAACATCTCTTCAACTATAGAGATGAACCATAACTGATTTAACCATTTCCTATCACTGCACATATAATTTATTTCCGGTTTTTCACGATTATAAATAATACTGTAATAAACATCCTTACACACAAATATTTATCAGCATCTGTGATTTTTTTTTTTTTTTTTTTTTTGCAGTTCTCGGGCCTCTCACTGTCGTGGCCTCTCCTGTCGTGGAGCACAGGCTGCGGACGCACAGGCTCAGCGGCCATGGCTCACGGGCCCAGCCGCCCCATGGCATGTGGGATCCTCCCGGACCGGGGCACGAACCTGTGTCCCCTGCATCGTCAGGCAGACTCTCAACCACTGTGCCACCAGGGAAGCCCTGTGATAATTTTTTAAAATAAATTTCTAGATGTGAGATTACTGGTGAAAAGCACATGCATATTTTAAGACACTAAACACGTTGATAAATTTTAAAGCAACTTTGTCAGTTTATAACCCCACCAGCACTATATGAGAATGCCATGTTAGTGCCCCTCAGGAAGTATGGAATAATATGATTATTTTTAAATCCTGCCAATTTAGGATTAAAATGAAATTTCATTATTAGTTTATTTTTCAAATCTTTAGCTATAAGTGACAAATATATTTATTAATCATCTGAATGTCCTTTTTTATAAATGGTCTCTTGATAGTCATTCTCCACTTTTCCCAACAGGGAAATTGATGTTTTTTTCTTAGTGATGTTTACTAATGTTTCTCATATAAGTCCCATGCATTTCTCATTAGGATTATTTTCAGACATTTCACTTTCATGTTGTTGTTGCTGCTGATGTCGTTGTCACTGCTTTTGTGAATGAATTTTTTTCCATGAGAGCTTCTAACTGGTTGTTGCTAATACAGTATAAAACAATTAAGTTTTTATTTTTACTTTGGTCTAAATTTGACGGTAAAGCATTATCTACTAGATTAAGATAATGAACACCAGCCTAATAAAAAAAAGAAACCTTATCATTTTATAGCTTGTTAGATCCAATCCTACATCTTAAATGGATAAGTTTTAACTATGTGTACACATTTACCCATTCTACATTCCTAATTGAAAGTAACTTCAACATTTTTTTTCTAATGCAAACAACTTCTAATGCAATGACTTCTCCCTTCACATATTTTATTTTTATATAAAGTGTCTTTAAAAGCAAACACTGTGCATCAGTTTTTATACTGTTGATTGTTCAATAAGTCTTCTCAAACCCCTATTAGGGGATCCGAAACCAGGTTAAGAAGGTTGAATAATCTTCAGAGAAGATGTCTCCAAACTATGCTATGCTGACACCCTCCAACAGAAGACACAGGCTATGGTGGCAAGAGCACTTGGAATCAGAAGATGAGCTCTGTCACTTCACCATCTGTGTGACCTTGGCCCAGTCACTTGCCTATCTGCAGGTCAGTTTTTTTTGTTTTTGTTTTGTTTTAATTAATTTATTTATTTATTCAATTTTGTCTGCGTTGGGTCTTCATAGCTGTGCGCTGGCTTTCTCTAGTTGCGACAAGTGGAGGCTACTCTTCGTTGCGGTGCATGGGCTTCTCATTGCGGTGGCTTCTCTTGTTGCAGAGCACAGGCTCTAGGCGCACGGGCTTCAGTAGTTGTGGCCCGCAGGCTCAGCAGTTGTGGCTTGCAGCCTCTTGAGCACAGGTTCAGTAGTTGTGGCACATGGGCTTAGTTGCTCTGCAGACTGCAGGTTCTTACCGGACCACGGCTCAAACCCGTGTCCCCTGCATTGGCAGGTGGATTCTTAACCACTGTGCCACCAGGGAAGCCTGCAGGTCAGTGTTTGAAACCCAAACACAATTCCTTGGCCTCTAACCCCAATCCATCCACCCCACACTCCATCCTGACAGCGCTACCTCAGTCATGCTACAGTTTACCTCAGATATATTTTAGTATCACTAAAGAGGTTTGGGGAAACCCATTCTTTAGCAGCATTTTCTTTGCAAATATTCTGGAATGAGAACTATGGATTAGATACTTAATCAGCTTCATTTGCAGAGGGTAACACTGTGCAACCCTATCCCGAATTGTAGGAGTGTGTCCTATTGGTGGCCTGTGGCTCCCCATGCTTTGATCATCTACACCAAGTGTCCCCAAAGCATGGCTGCCCAACACAGATCTGTCAACTGCAGCGTCCTACCATTAGCACCCTGCTACTGTTGAAGCATACTAAATGGAATTAAATGTACTGTCATGACAAGGGAAAACATATTGATAATTTAAATTTGGTAATAGGAGTCCCTTTCCCTGTGGTACAATGGAATTTAAGAGGATTTTGGAGGAAGGAGATTTGAACTCAAGTCCTGGCTCGACCCTTCACAAGCTGCCAACACAAGGCCCTAAGACTGTTGAGGAGATGAAGTAGGATAATGACCAGAAGCTGTCTGTGACCTGTGCCTCCCTGTGGAGGGGCTGTGGCATTATTGTTGCTGGAAGAATGTCCTTAGTTGTAAATATTTCTTGAAATTTTGTATTCTTGGAATCATACGATATTACCTCTAGAGAAGGGATCTTATTACTTTGTTCAACTTCTTGCTTAAAGCAAGAGTCTCTTCTAAAGCATCACAGCAAAACCAAACAGTGTATGATATGTGAGAAACTGTGTCCATGTATAGAAAAGCCCACACGATGTCTGGAATCCATTGTGTAACAACGTGGCTCACAGTTACACCTCAGCCCCTCCCTCCTCACTTTCTGAGGGGCTGTGCTCTTCTTGGGCTCGGTACAAAGACTGGCTGCTTGGGTTGAAGGTGTGGGATGGTGTCATGGAAACTTGTTCTCCCAAATCACCATGGAAGTAAATCCCTATGGAGTGCCTTCTGCAGACACAGGGAAACCTAAAACACCAGGCAGAGGGAACTTCAGGAATCGTGAATTTTAAAAATATTTTTACTGTGATCCACAGTTAGAAACACATTTGATGTCTCAACCCAGTACATACACATACACTCACGGACACACACACAAACTGGAACAAAAGTTTAACAGAACAATTTTTTACGATACAGCACATTCTGAGTACAACAGCACATTCTGATCTATTTTATTTCATTGAAAAAAACCCAACCTGCTGGTAAAAACTCTAAATTGATTTTACAACCTCCTAATGAATTTTGGTTTGAGGTTTGAAAAACACTGATCCTATCCAATGCTCCCATCTTACAAATGAAGAAACTGAGTCTGGGAAAAAGGAACTGGCTAACTATTCCACAAAGACACACACATTTACAGCATGACAGTGACAAGGCTCCAGGTCTCCTGATCCTCATCATGGCCTTCCCTCAGAACCTCCTATTACTTCTCCGTCTTCTTTTTTTTTTGTGGTACACGGGCCTCTCACTGCTGTGGCCTCTCCCGTTGCGGAGCACAGGCTCCGGACACGCAGGTTCAGAGGCCATAGCTCACAGGCCCAGCCGCTCCGTGGCATGTGGGATCCTCGCGGACCAGGGCACAAACCCGTGTCCCTTGCATCAGCAGGCGGACTCTCAACCACTGTGCCACCAGGGAAGCCCGCCTGTCTTCTTGTATAGAGATACAATATTGCCTATCTCTATTTTAGGAGCAAGATATCAGTCTTCTATCAGAGAGGGGAGGAAGTGTCCTCCTCTCTCCCATCTTCCCTGGATGCCCCCCATTGTTGTGGCTGCAACAGGGGCCCCTGCAAGCTCTTTTCCCAAAAACCTAACATACCAGGGACCCCAGAAGAGAGACCCTTGCGGGGGGTGGGGAAGATGCATAGGTATCTATTTCCCCTTATAGGTGTCTATTCCCCCCCTAGTCTCATGCTTGTGGGGACTTTTTCTTTGGATTAGTTTGCCAACCCCTAGGAAAGGTCATCTGAGAGTCTGTCCTCAGGAAATTAAAATAAAGGGTAGTTCTTTTCTATGGGGAAAGATGGGATGTGGGGAGGATCCTGCAGAGAACTGGTCCATGACTAACTCTGTTGATCAAAAGCTGTTTGGGGCAATTTGGCACTGTTGATGGGGAACCCATGTCCCAAAGCTAGTTGTGATGGACTTCAGAGAAGCAAGACAGCACCTATTTACCCTCAAGCAATAGCTGCCTCTGCCCTCTTGCCCTAAGGCCTTTCCATCTCTTTGCCCTACTCCCCTTTGCCTATCCTGCATGAGGGGGCCTTTAAAGGGCGTATATTTTTCAACCAATAATCCCTGATAAGATGGGCACTATCTTATATACAGTTATTTAAAGGAGTCAGGAAAACAAATAAAGAAACAAAATCCAGAGCCTCTTTTTGTTGTTGGTTTTCCCACAGGCCATACTTTTGAACACAAAGAAGGCGGCTGTGGAGATATCAAGGAGGAGGAAATTGTTAGAGAAGACAGACAAATTGACTACCCGCCATGAAAAGCTTATGACTGGGAGGTTTTTGCTTATCTCTTCCTAGAAAAAGAATGTGCAGACTCTAGGAAGTTTGATCTGTTTTTCCCTAGAGTGCCACAATACTTCTTGTAGTTCTTTCTTCTCCCCACCCATCTTCCCAGCCCATCCCACTTCCAAACAATGACTTAAGACCAAGATACAGAACTTGAGATAAGGAGTCAAGGACGGGAAGCAGAACTGCAAAATTGTCAGGTTAGAGCCAGAGACATGTGAATCCTGGAGAAAGAATTGTCTTATTTATCTCTCTCTGCTCAGAACGCAATGCAGCTCCTGCCTGGCACCTGGTAGGTGTTTTGTATATTCTTATAGAAAAAAAAATTGACAAATACAATATGAGAATAAGCAGAAGGTCCATAGAAAATCAGCTCAGACACTGGATTCCAGACTCCAGGAATGCAATCTGGACACCAGGAAGGACAATCAGCAGAGAAGACTGAGCTTGACTCAGAATTCATAGATAGTCACAAGTCAGAATCAAAAATAGCAGAGAACAGGCTTTCCCTGGTTAACACAAAATGGCTTTCTCCCATTATACAGCAGGTATACTTATATGACCAATGACGATAGATTGGCTTAGCATCGGTTAAAAGAAGTGAAGGTTTTCAGTAAAGAAAAAAACCCTCAAAATGAATCTATGGCTACTCTGAAACAATGCAAAATTATTCTATATTTTAAGAGTTATAATATCTAGAATTGTGATGTTCAATGTGATAGCCACTAGCCACATGCAGCTATTTAAGTTTAAAATAATTAAAGTTAAATAAAATTAAAACTTCCGGACTTCCCTGGTGGCACAGTGGTTAAGAATCCGCCTGCCAATGCAGGGGACACGGGTTGGAGCCCTGGTCCGGGAAGATCCCCCCTGCCACGGAGCAACTAAGCCCATGTGCCACAACTACTGAGCCCACGTGCTGCAACTACTGAAGCCCACCTGCCTAGAGCCTGTGCTCAGCAACAAGAGAAGCCACCACAATTAGAAGCCCGCACACCGCAGCGAAGAGTAGTCCCCGCTCACCGCAGCTGAAGAAAACCCACGTGCAGCAGCAATGACCCAACGCAGCCAAAAAATAAATTAATTAAATTAAATTAAAAATTAAAACTTCCTCATTCTCATTAGTCACAGTTCAGATGCCCAACAACTACATGTGGCTGGTGACTACCATATTGGACATCGCAGATACAGAACATTTTGACCATAACATTAGGTTCTATTGGACAGTGCTGATCTAATGAGCAAGTTAATAGTTCCCCCTGCTCTGGTGCATTCATTCAGAATGCATCACTCTTCAAATAAAATATAGACAAACAAACAAAAAAAAAACTTCAAAAGAGGATAACTGCAAAGCTAAAAAGACATCATTTGGGGAATAGTTCAAAGAACTAGAGATATTTAGTCTGGAGAAGAGGAAAATCCAGAGTAAATATGAAGATTAACTTCAAATATTGAAGAACTGTCATATTGTTCCATGTGACTTAAGGGATAGACTTAAACCCACGTGTCAGAGTTACAAAAGATTCTAGCTCAAGAGAAGGAAAAACTTCTTTCCCATCAGAGCTACCCAAAGGCAGAATGGGCTGCCTCATTAAGGAATGAGCCCTCTAACGTGGAGTGTTCAAGCAAAGGCTGGGCACACGCCTTACACACAGATATTAAAAAACAAAAAATCTTGTGAAAGAAAGGTTATTTGTCAAATATATCAGGAAGGAGGTATGAGTTCAAACATGAATGAGCAGTTAAACTTGATGATCTTTGAAACCCCTTCAAATTCTGAGAATCTCTGACTCCTAGGATTGTTTTTCAGCCACTGGGTAAGAAATTCAGGAGAGCATGGGGAGTAGGGAAACGGTCTGTACTATTTTGAGCAAGATCAGGTGGAAACTCAAGAATGCCACAGGGTGAGAGAGAGCTCCAGAGAAAAAGAGAGGAAGAAGGTGGATGATGAAGCAATTTAACTGGAATTAAAAATGGAGCACAGGGGGCTTCCCTGGTGGTGCAGTGGTTGAGAGTCCGCCTGCCGATTCAGGGGACACGGGTTCATGCCCCGGTCCAGGAAGATCCCACATGCCGTGGAACGGCTAGTCCCATGAGCCATGGCCACTGAGCCTGCACATCCAGAGCCTGTGCTCCGCAACAGGAGAGGCCACAACAGTGAGAGGCCCACGTACCGCAAAAAAAAAAAAAAAAAAAAAAACGGAGCAGAGGGACAGAAAAGAAGGTGCAAGAGGAAACGGGGATCCTGAGAAAAAGAAAGACAAAGAGAAGAAAGAATGGTACGGGGAGAAAGAATGATACATGTGTGGGACGTTTGTGAAAAAAGGCACAAATAGAAGCCTCAATTTTAACTCTCCCTAACTCAAAAAATGACCAAATAAGCTCTTTTTAAGATAGTTTGCTTAGAGGTCTGGGCGGAGGGCTGGCAGGCAGCGGCTGGGGCCGCGAGTGGGGATCGCGGCAAGGGGATGCTGGCAGACGCGGGCAGCGGCCAGTCCGGAGCCCCCAGGCCAGAGTCGAGCTAACCGCAATGGGGACCGGGGCCCAGAGCCGCGGCAACTGCGGCTGGAGGACGATGGCAGCGCCCGCTGGGGCCGGGACACTGATTGCATCCCCAGACTGCAGGCGCTGGCTGTGGTCAGTGCTTGGGGTGGTGCTCGGGCTCTTGACTGCTGGTGTATCGGCCATGGAGGTGTATACACCAAAAGAAACCTTCGTGGCAAATGGGACACAAGGGAAGCTGACATGATGGGAAAGGAAATAGCCACCAAAGTCCAGGAAGCATAGCGAGTCCCATACAGGATAAACTTGAGTAGAAACACACTGAGACACATAGTAATCAAACTGGCAAAAATTAAAGACAAACAAATTATTGAAAGCAGCAAGGGAAAAATGACAAATAACATACAAGGGAACTCCCATAGGTTAACAGCAGATTTCTCAGCAGAAAATCTACAAGCCAGAAGGCAGTGGCATGATATACTTAAAATTATGAAAGGGAAGAACCTACAACCAAGATTACTCTACCCGGCAAGGATCTCATCCAGATTCGATGGAGAAATCAAAAGCTTTACAGACAAGCAAAAGCTAAGATAATTCAGCACCACCAAACCAGCTCTACAACAAATGGTAAAGGAAATTCTCTAAGTGGGAAACACAAGAGAAGAAAAGGACCTACAAAAGCAAAACCAAAACAATTAAGAAAATGGTTATAGGAACATACATATCGATAATTACCTTAAACATGAATGGATTAAATGCTCCAACCAAAAGACACAGGCTTGCTGAATGGATACAAAAACAAGACCCATATATATGCTGTCTACAAGAGACCTCAGTAAATTTAAGAAAATTGAAATCATATCAAGCATCTTTTCTGACCACAACGCTATGAGATTAGAAATAAATTACAGGGAAAAAAAATGTAAAAAACACAAACACATGGAGGCTAAACAAAACATTACTAAATAACCAAGATATCACTAAAGAAATCAAAGAGGAAATCAAAAAATACCTACAGACAAATGACAATGAAAACACGAAGATCCAAAACCAATGGGATGCAGCAAAAGCAGTTCTAAGAGGGAAGTTTATAGCAATAAAAGCCTACCTCAAGAGACAAGAAACATCTGAAATAAACAATCTAACTTACACCTAAAGGAACTAGAGAAAGAAGAACAAACAAAACCCAAAGTTAGCAGAAGGAAAAAATCATAAAGATCAGAGCAGAAATAAATGAAATAGAAACAAAGAAAACAATAGCAAAGGTCAATAAAACTAAAAGCTGGTTCTTTGAGAAGATAAACAAAATTGATAAACCATTAGCCAGATTCATCAAGAAAAAGAGGGAGAGAACTCAAATCAATAAAATTAGAAATGAAAAAGGAGAAGTTACAACAGACACTGCAGAAATACAAAGCATCCTAAGAGACTACTACCAGCAACTCTATGCCAATAAATTGGACAACCTGGAAGAAATGGACGAATTCTTAGAAAGGTATAACCTTCCAAGACTGAACAAGGAAGAAACAGAAAACATGAAGAGACTAATCACAAGTAAAGAAATTGAAACTGTGATTAAAAATCTTCCAACAAACAAAAGTGGAGGACCAGATGGCTTCACAGGTGAATTCTATCAAACATTTAGAGAAGAGCTAACACCCATCCTTCTCAAACTCTTCCAAAATATAGCAGAGGGAGGAACACTCCTAAACTCATTCTATGAGGCCACCATCACCCTGATACCAAAACCAGACAAAGATAATACAAGAAAGGAAAATTACAGACCAATATCACTGATGAATATAGATGCAAGAATTCTTAACATAATACTAGCAAACAGAATTCAACAACACATTAAAAGGATCATACACCATGATCAAGTGGGATTTACCCCAGGGATGCAAGGATTCTCCAATATACGCAAATCAATCAATGTGATACACCATATTAACAAATTGTAGAATAAAAACCATATGATCGGGCTTCCCTGGTGGCGCAGTGGTTGAGAGTCCGCCTGCCGATGCGGGAGACACGGGTTTGTGCCCCGGTCCGGGAGGATCCCACGTGCCGCGGAGCGGCTGGGCCCGTGAGCCATGGCCGCTGAGCCTGAGCCTCCAGAGCCTGTGCTCCGCGACGGGAGAGGCCACAGCAGTGAGAGGCCCGTGTACCGCAGAAAAAAAAAAAAAAAAAACCATATGATCATCTCAATAGATGCAGGAAAAGCTTTTGACAAAATTCAACATCGATTTACGATAAAAACTCTCCAGAAAGTGGGCATAGAGAGAACCCACCTCAACATAACAAAGGCCATATATACGACAAAACCACAGCAAACATCATTCTCAACAGTGAAAAACTGAAAGCATTTCCTCTAAGATCAGGAACAAGACAAGTAGGTCCACTCGC